CCTGGAGGGAGTTTGGGACCCTGGGAATCTGGGAGAGACAGGGAAAAGGAGCCCTGGACTGGGAGACAAGAGGCCAACCTAGCTTTGATGAGAAGTCGCTTTGTGACCTGAGGTAGGTCAAGGCCCCTCTCTGGGCCTCAGCAGAACTAGGGCACGGGAAGAAGTGACCATTGTGCTCCCTAGACATGAGCAAATATGCATAAAGCACTGAGCAGGTGCCTTGTACACAGTAAGTGCTCAATAAGTGTTAGTCATTACTTTTATTAATTATTATTATTTACAAAAATTTACAAGGGGCTGGAGCACTTTCTAGAACAGCTTCTCCCCACCTCCCGCACCCCATCATCCCATCAGACACAGGCCAACTGGAGGGTGGATTTGAAGAAACCCACCATCTCTCGTCCCCACCACCTGGAAATCCTCCCTCCCCCAGCACACCTCCACGGCCGCTCAGGAGTTTTGGAAAAACCACAGGCGTTGGCGGGTGTCAAGCCTAACTCGTCCTCAGTGACCTTGGCCAATCCTCTCCCGTCCCCAGCCCTCTGGGCTTAGTGCAGTGCCTGGCACACGGGGAGGGCTCAGGAGGGAAGCAGCAGTAGGACTTGGTGGAGATGCCTCCTGCCCCCACCTTACCCCAAGGCGTCAGTGGGTGAGACAGTGTCTGCAGAGGGCCCAGCACCTTCGTTCTCATAAAATTCCCTTCCCACCACTCCTCTGGGTGCAGGATTTTTTTTAATGGATTTGGCAGCTTCCATCTAAAACATCAAGACTCTTGGGCAGGGAAAACCAAGTCATTCTCAGGTGACACGTGCATGACATCTACACATCTCCAAACTGTTTCTGAGCCTTCCCCATAGCCTCACGTGGCAGGAGTGGCTCTGGTCCCTTGCCCTCAAATGTGGGATTTGAGTCCAGAGAGGCTGTGTGACTTGCCGAAGGTCACACAGCTAGGGTATGAGTAAAAGGGCCAGGAGAAGAGACCTGGCTCTTCTCCCTGGGTCCCTCCCTGCCTCTTTCGAGATCTAAGCAAGAGAGCCCTGTCTCCCCCTGTCAGCTGGGGGACAGGCAGCTCAGCCTTCCACAGTCACCTGTGGGGCAGAGGAAGGCACTCCAAATCCATCTGGTTTTGACACACAAACTTAGAAGAGCATGGCCTATGGTGTCCTAAAGGAGCCTCCAGGGTTGAGGCCCAGAGAGGTGGGGTGGTTTACCCAAGGTCACCTTGGGCAACCTGGGACCCCCATGTGTGTCTCTCACTCTGGCAGATTAGAAGGCTATCACCAGGAAATGCAGGGATAATAGTAATGGCAATAATAACGACAGCTTGAGAGGCTGCTGCGTGCCAGGAATTGTACACTTTACAGGCAATGATTCATTCAGTCCTATTATGAGCTCCCTTACACAAATGTGGCACCACAAGGTTAAACAACTTGCCCAAGGTCACCCAGCTAGGGAGAGGTCGTGGAGAACAAGGTGGAGGTGATGGGGGCTGTGGGGCGGGGACAGGACAATGGGCATCACTGAGACATCTATTCAGCCACGGGGCAGAAAGGGTCTTTAGAGTATGCAGCCGACCTTCTTCCTGGACAGACCTGGACCAGAGGTTAAGCAACCGGCCAAGGTCACAAAGCAAGTTAGAACCACCTCCTGCTAATCTGATCCCCCGCCGGCAGTGCACGCCAAACTCCACAGCTGCACCAGGCCTGGCCCCACGATTCCAGCCCCCAAGGCAATTCCGCATCCCTCCCTATGCAGAGAGCAGCCTTTGTTTGAGGCGCCCCTATTTCTGTGTCAAGAGCCCCCGCAGGGACTGGAGTAGGTGCTGGAGTGCCGCAGGCCGCCACCAGAGGGCGCCAGGGGCAGGGAGCCCAGTTGGGGTGAGGACCACCTGGTTCATGGAGCCGCCCAGGAGAGGAGGTAGAAATCACACACGCTGGGGGAGTAAACAGAGGCCCAGAGAGGAGCAGCAAGAGGAGTCTGGGCTGACGCCGAGAAAACCGCAGCACACAAACTCACCTGGGGAGATTGTTATTCTTAGTAATAACAGCCAACGTGTACTGTGGGTTTACAATGTGCCAGGCCCTGGGTGAGAATTCTGGCTCTAAGTTACTAGCTGTGCGACCCTGGGCTTGTTACTTAACTACCTTGTGCCTCGGTTTCCTCATCTGTAAGATGGTACCAACCTTAAGAGTCATAAGGCTGGAATGCATTTGTGTGTGAGGCCTTTAAATCATGTCTGACACACAAGTGCCCCAGGAGTGTTTGTTATTATCTGGCCACTTTTCACTTACATTTGTTTACTCATGGGCTCCTCACTGCAACTGTATGTGTTACGTGCTTTTATGATTCCCCATTTACAGCTGGGGAAACAGAAGCACAGAGAGGTCAAGAAGTTTGTCCAAGATCACACAGCTGGGAATAGTAAAGCGGAACTCAGTCTAGGCTGTGTGGCACTCAAGTTGTGTTCTTAAACGATATGCCATTCTTCTAATGACAGAACATGCCAGGGCCTGGTCACATGATCGGTGACCCCCTCCAAATGGATTCTTTACTATCCTCATATCTAGAGAAAGGAGCTGAGGTGCAGAAAGATGCATGACCTGCTCAAGGTCACCCGGCTACAGTCTGTGTTGGGGAATCAAGTTGTCCCAAGACCAGGGACAAGCAGAGAGAATGGCCTGTAGCAGACCCTGCTGGGCTAGGGGGTGAGGCTGGCCTGGCAAATCTTTATTACCCATTTCACAAATACTTATTGAGTGCCCACTAGCTGGGGGCCTAGAGATGGGAGGTGAACAGCCCAGCCACCGCCCCTTCCTCAGGGACCCTCAGTGAGTAGAAAATGGGGGGAGCACTGCAGTGGCTTCCAACCCTCGCTCCACCCCTTGAGCAAGTACCACCACCATTCTACACCTTGGCCTCCTTATCTGTAATTCAAGGATTTTTGTGATGATCCAGTGAGGTGATGGGAGTGAAGCTCTCAGCACAGAGCCGGGCACATAGTAAGCGCTCAATAAATATTAGCTGCCATCATCATCAGTAATCACGATGGGAAGAAATACAGAAGGAGAAAGAGAGGGTCTGGGAGTAGCCAATGGGTATTTAACTCAGTTTCAAACAATACTCCCCGAACTTCTTGGGGCCTGAGTACCAGGACTGATCCTGGAATGGGAGGTAGGGGAAGCTCCAGACCAAAGGCAGATAGCAGGGAGGAGCGGGGTGCTGAGAGGCTGGGCAAGTGCCCCACCCATTTCAGAACTGACAGGGCCACTGCCCTCTGCATCCGACCACAGAGTGCCTCCCTGCTGAGTCATGCACCCCCACAAGCCCCCATCACTGCATGTGCAGGCAGCTGAAGGGAGAGAGGGAAAAATAAGGGCACACCCTGGCCTTCAGGGTTGGGGGACAGTTTGCACAGACTTCCCCCTGTGACCATCCCAAATGCCAGAAGAGAGGCTGAGGCACGGAGGCCCAATCAGGCAGGCCGTTTGCAGGAAGGCAGGCTCGGAATCTGGCTCCCTGCTTACAAAAACCCTCTGCCATCCACTCACTTGAGTAGGGGGGGGGGGGGGGGGGGGGGGCGACACAGATCTCAGGGGTCCGAAGGAGAGGACCAAACGCCCCCTGTGCCACTCCCCCACTGTGAAACCTCGGAAAGAGCCCTAACCTCCACTGTCCTCCAGAATCAAAGGGCGATGGAAACACTTGTTAGTTTAGTGCCGGGTTGATACGTTTGTGCATGTCTGCCAGGAACTCTCCAGGGGGCCCAGGCTCCAGGGTTCTCAGGAGGGTGCTAGGGCCATGCGAGGCACTGGGAAACACAGACAAATCCGGTGGCCCCTGCCCCCGGGGAGCCCCTGTGGAATCCCCCAGGAGAGCCACAGCCAGCCCACCCACCAATCACGCAAACCCAAGATGGACAGGATTTCTGGTCCAACTCTAGAGGGAAGGGAGCAGCACGGGGAGGGGAGTCCTCACAGGGGGCACTCCAGAAGGCTTCTAGTGGAGCAGGGAGCAAGGCAGGCCTGGGAGCAAGGACAAGGAGGTCCCTCTCCTGGAACACCTATTCCACGCCACACCCTTGACCTCTGAAACCCTCCAGCCGCCCTGCGAGGTGGGTCTAACAGCATGAGATCCATTTAGGCACCATCTATTCACCGTACCCCTCTCCGGAGCCTGGCACATGCTGGGCACACGGATCCAGCCCCGGGAAGCTCACAGTCTGGTGGGGGAGGCAGACAATTAAATAATCTTCAGTGAAGTCACTTTTTCGAGCAAGTAAAAAGCATAATTATAATAGCTAACATTTATACAGCAATTACTGTGCGCTCCCTCTCTCTTTCTCAATTTCCTTATATGTAAAATGGGGATTATAATAGTACCTACTCGGCGGGGTCTGTGATGGTTAAATGAGCTAACATGCGTGAAGCATCAAGTGCTTACTGGCACACGGTAAGAGCTTGATACATGGTTCTTTCCATCACTTCACTCAGTCCTTCCAAAGACCCTGGGAAGGAGTGTCCAATTATAAGCTCCATTTTGTGGATGAGGAAACCGAGGTTCAGAGAAGTTATAGCATTGGAATGGCAGGATGTCGTTGGAATAAAGACAGCATGGGCTTCGGCGTCAGCCTGCAAAGGCTTGAATCTGGCTCCATCACTTACAAGCTGTGAGCTTAGACTATACGCCTCAGTTTCTCTATCTGTAAAGCGGCTGTAATAATAAGACCTCCCCTGCGTGGCTGTGAGCACTTAAGAGAACACAAAGCCAGCACACAGGGCCCCGCGCTCCACGAGGATGGGGTGGGCGGTATTTTCACTGTGGTCCACGGAGGAGGGATCTGACCCAGGCAGCCTGACGCCAAGAGCAGAGGCGCACGACAGCGACCAATGTCTTACAAGCAACCATCCTCTTCCAAGAGCGCCCGCGGGGCGGCCGAGCTGGGGGGCGCGCGGGTGACCCGGGGCCTCACCTTCCTGCCTGCTCCCCTCTCGCCCCTCCAGGTTATGCCCCGCACTGCCTGCCCCCCAGCAGCTACGATGCGGACCAGAAGCCGGGCCTGGAGCTCGCGCCGGCCGAGCCCGCGTACCCGCCGGCGGCGCCCGAGGAGTACAGCGACCCCGAAAGCCCGCAGTCCAGCCTGTCGGCGCGCTACTTCCGCGGGGAGGCGGCCGTGACCGACAGCTACTCCATGGACGCCTTCTTCATCTCGGACGGCCGCTCGCGGCGGCGGCGCGGCGGGGACGCGGGGGGCGCGGGGGATGCCGGCGGCGGGGGGCGCGCGGGGCGCGCGGGGGCGCCGGCGGGGGGCGGGCACCGGCACGCGTGCGCCGAGTGCGGCAAAACGTACGCCACGTCGTCGAACCTGAGCCGCCACAAGCAGACGCACCGCAGCCTGGACAGCCAGCTGGCGCGCAAGTGCCCCACGTGCGGCAAGGCGTACGTGTCCATGCCCGCGCTCGCCATGCACGTGCTCACGCACAACCTGCGCCACAAGTGCGGCGTGTGCGGCAAGGCCTTCTCGCGGCCCTGGCTGCTGCAGGGCCACATGCGCTCGCACACGGGCGAGAAGCCGTTCGGCTGCGCGCACTGCGGCAAGGCCTTCGCCGACCGCTCCAACCTGCGCGCGCACATGCAGACGCACTCGGCCTTCAAGCACTACCGCTGCCGCCAGTGCGACAAGAGCTTCGCGCTCAAGTCCTACCTCCACAAGCACTGCGAGGCCGCGTGCGTCAAGGGCGCCGAGCCGCCCCCGCCGCCTCCCGCCGGGCCCGCCAGCTGAGCCCCTGCCGCCCCCCGGGCCCCCCACGCGCGCCCTCTGCGCCCTCTCCACCCTCCAGCTGCGTTTCCCTCCCACGCCCCTCGTGGGGACCCCCCCAGCCTCCCAACCAGGAACTTTTCTCTCCAGCCCCCAAACCCGTCACTCCCTTCTGGCACTGTCTTCCTCAGTGTAGCCCCACCCTCGTCCTTTCCGGCTACCGAGACTCGGACCTTGACCCCCTGGCCATGCCCCCAAGGCTCCCAACTCAGGCACCAGGTCCGCACCTCTCCCAGGCCTCAGAGCTGGAATCTTCGCCCACCCAGACCCTGTACCTCTCCCCTTGTAACTTTCAGACCTTTTTGACGCTCTCTGACCATTCCTCTCTCGGAGCCCCCAATCTAAGGCCCAAACCTATCCTTGCCTCTCACACCTGCCTTGGTTTCCCCATTCCCAGCAGGACGCAGACCCTGCGGCCCCCGGACCCTACTCCAACCCCAGACCTCCAAGACCCAGTCCAGTCTCCCTGTGCGCGTGCCCATCCAGGGATCTACTCCTCACCCCTCTTGGAGTCCCAGTCTGTTCCTGATCCCCTCCAGGGTCCAGCCATTCACACACCGCGGCCACCACCATCCCCACGCTCACACACATTGTCAGTCCTGGGGGCCTTCTCACTCCCACCTCTTACTCTCTCCAGACCCCCTCGCGCTCATCCCTGGAGCAGCTCTCACCCCTCTGAGTTCACCCGGCCTGGGGCAGACTGGAGGGGTCCATCAGGCCCTGCCCCCGCATGTAGCCCCTGTCTCACCCCAGGACAGCCCCTCCCTCGGCTGCCAGCCTTGAGCTGCCCTCTCCCCAGATTGTGAGCACTTTCCCCCACCCCCAGGACTACAGGTACCCTCCTTGTTTGTTGGGGGGAGGTCTGGGGCACCTCACAAATGCCCTTTCCCCCGTCCGGCTGGGCCTCTCCAGTTATTTATTTGTGTATTTATTTATTTATCTATTTATTATTCTATTTAATCTCTTGGCCTCACCCAGGGACAGTTTGGCTTCCCCAGCTGGACTGGGAGGTCAGGGAGCCAGGCAAGGAGAGGTACAGCAAAGGCCATCGAGGGCTGTTCCCCCCACACACACCCGGCCTGGAGTGAGGGAGAAGCCCCACCCTCCTCAGAGCCTGAGCTCGCTGGGGAAGGGGGCACCGGAACGGGAGGGGTAGCTTGCTGACCCTCGACGGCGGGATGGGGGCGTGAGGAGGTCCAGGCGTGGGGCAGGTCCCCGTCTCCAGAGCCTTCCACTCCCACTCCAGGGAGACCGGAGAGAGGCGCCTCCTCGATTTGTTTCCGATTTATTCCTCTTCTCGAGGGACCCCAGCTTCCAGGGACCGATTGAGCCCCGGACCCCGCTGGGGCCTCCGGCCCGCTCCGCTCCCCGGGAGGAGCGCTCCCTCCCGGCCACGTCTATGCAACTCTCCCGGGCAGAGGGGCCGGGGCTGCCAGGCGCCCCCGTTGGCCGCCACTACCTCCCCCGCCGCGCTTTTGCATGCCCGGGCGAGGACCGAAGCACACCCCTCCGCGCTCACCGGCCCTGGTTCCCTCTGCTTTAAGCACACGCCTCTGCCCCGTCGCTAGGGGCCCAGCTCGGGGCAGGAGTCCCGGATTCTCCGACCCTCCCCCGCTCCTCCAAGCCACAAAGGAGGGTGGAGACTGGAGGGGCCTCTGGCGCAGGGGAACTTCCCTAGGGCTTCTCAGCTCCAGGCCCACCAGGGACGGGAGGCGGCAGGGATGGGGGAGGCAGAGGGGTCGCAGAAGCAATTACGGAGGGGGTTGACCCTGTAAATAGGAATTTCCGACAGCAATAATTTTCCATGCATGCTAAGCCTTTGGCCATATTTTGTACGAGCGCTTGGCGCTCCCCTCCTCCCTCTCCCCCCATCCCCTGCCCTTCCTCACCTCCAGCAGTATTACTTGTAACGCAATTCAGGGATATTAAAGGGACTTTGGCCACTCAACAGCGCCTCTGGACCTTGTGGTGGGGACTAGGGGGGTAGGGGGAGAGGAGGGCGTCTGAGGCAGCAGATTTTTTCTACTCTATTTCCCTCCCTGTAGCCACAAGGGGTCGCACAGCTCCAGGGGTCCCTTGACATGGACATGGTCCCAGGCATCCTCAATCCTAACTATTCCTCAAACACTGGGGTCACAAACCCAAAGAGTTCAAGAACCAGATTAAAAACATAAGAGAGTAAAACAGTTTACCTTAAGACATTAGGGAATGGTGGAGCCTGTGTAACAGAAAAGAGATGTCTCACCTTAAAGAACTGAGATTCAAATTAACTACACCAGCCAAACAAATACAACTGTGGACCAGATTTGTCCCGTGGCAGCCAGTTTACAACTCCTGTATTCTTCTCCACTTCATCTCCTGCTGTTCTGGGGGAGTCTGCCCGGCCCTATTGGTCATTCATGCAGCAAGTGTGTGCATGCAAAAATGTTGGCTTTGGCTCAGCAGGCAAAACTGTCTGAAAACAGTGAGCTGCCCCTAGAGCTTGTGAGCTCCCTGTGGCCAAAAGTGTCCAGGACGACGTTGGATAACCAGTCCATCCTCCTTGCCAGCTGCCTTGGTGATCTTTCAAGATACAAAGCTGCCCTTACCTTACTAGAAACCTCACTGGGGACCACCAACCCCATGCCACTTAACTCCAACCCCCAACACAGACTCCCCGAGAGGTGGGGCCATGTGCTTTGAGGCTGGATGCCGGGCTGGGGGGTGGGGGCTCCAGGCTGGAGCCCCATCTCCCCTGGGGCCACCTTTCTGGTTTGGTTTCCTCCTTTTTTAGGCAATGCGCTCAACTTTCAGACTCACCCTAGTGCCTCTGCCTTTCCCTCTACACACCTCCGGACGGGAGGCTGCGTCCTGAGCGATGTGCTCGGTGTCTCCAGCGATGACAGCAGTGTGGGAACAATCACAAAGTCTCCATCGGGGTTTGGGGCCCAGGCACCAGATGCCTTCTCTAGCCATCCACACCCAGTCCTCGGTGGCTGCACATGCTCCTGACTGGCTGTTGCATCGATGACGTTTGTTTCAGGTCCAGGCAACAGAACCCACTCCAGATCTGCATTTTATAAACATCTAATTCCCTGTATTAAATTCCTTTGCATCACGAAGTAATTTAATACAGGGAATTGGCTGCTGACAAAACTGATAGAAGGACTTCAGGGGCGAGCCCTCAGCTGGACCCCCAGAACATCCTCACAGAACTGGCCCACCAGCTAAGTTGCTGGCTCCTCCACAACCAGAGCGGGGGAGGCAGGAGGCTCATGGAACCACTGAGTTCAAGAATACAGCACTATAGGTGCGACTCAGGGACCAGGAGGGCCCTGCCACTACCTCCATCTCCCATCTCCCGCTCTGCTGGTGGCTCGATGATGGAACACTGTTACGGAAAAACTTAGTACCTCCAGGACCATCTTGCCAGTAGAAAGAGACGAGGTAATAAGAAAATGGCCCCTACCCACTTCTGCCATCCGAATTCAGCAGAAGTGCATCCAACCAGCAGAACCCACACCACTGTCAGTAACCTTGCTGCAAGGAAGTCTGAGAAATGCAGTTTTTAACTCTCCAAATGCAATACAGAAGGCACCCTAGCGGGAGATGGGAGTGGATACTGGGTGCCCGGTGACTATCCGGCTCAGCTGTAGTGGTCTATCATCCACCCATTCCTCCTTCCTTGATTGGCAGCCATGCAATCTGGGGACTGAACATCAGCGTAGGGGGTGGTCTTGACTGGTCAAAGAGTAATCTCATCCCCCATGGGCTGAGAAATGGGTATATGCCTCAATTCTGGCCATGAAACTTGAGGGGAGTTTTGCTGGAAGCTTATTCAAAACTTTGCTGCTTCCTTTTTTAAGAGACAGGAAGCAAGGTCTCTCTTCCCCCCAAACATGAACAAGGGAGCAGGTCATCTTGTGACCATGGAGGGAGCCAGCCTTAGCATGAAGCCCACACCCTGGGCGGCGGAGCGGAGGGAAGGGAAAAGCCCACGTTCCTGATGAGATCAGGGAGCCACTGAAAAAACACCTTGAAGCCCGCAGCATATGCTGCCTCTGGACTTTGCAGTATGTGACGTGAGTAGCTTTATTGTCTGAGTCAGCTGAATGGGTCTCTGTTCCCTGCAGCCCAGAGCACCTCAACTGGCACGTGGATCCAGTCTGCTTTCCATAAGTCTCTCGGAGGAAGACCTCCGCGATGCGACTTCCTGGTCTCCTCTTACTGTCTGGCTGCTCCACCAAGCTAGTCTCATCTTCCTGCACCCCAGGAAGGAAGCCACTTCCTGTTCCTTCTTGTACGTTTGTGTCCCTAAAGGTTCTCCCCCTGACTCCTCTTCTCACGGCATGCTCTCATGAAGCAGTCTCATTACGCCCCTGGCTTCAGTTTCCACCCACATGCAGATGACTTGCAAATTTACAGTTTCCATTCCGACCTCCTCTCTGAGCTGCAAATCCACCCCTGCCTGCAGGCGCCCTCCACTTGGATATCCCCAAAGCACCATAGACCAGCCTAAGTCTGAAGCCGAGATGTGGTTCTCCCCCAGGGTTTCTCACTTCCATGAGAGGCACCAGCACCCAGCCAGTCCTGTAGGCGTCAAACCCAGACGTCATGTCCGCTACCTGTCTCCTCCACCCTACCACCCAATCCATCACCAGGTTCTGTCGATGTTTCCTCTCCATCTTCTCAGTCTCCACCCTAGTCCATAGCTACAGTCATCTCCTACCTGGACAACCGGACCCCCTTCTCACTGGTTTCCCTGGATCCACTCTGCCTCCACCACCTCCCTTCCTCTCTCCACAGCAGCCACAGGGATCTTTTCAAAAATGCAGATCTGATCACATCACTCCATTCCCCTTCCCTGCTTAAAACATTCCAGTGACTTCCCACTGTGTGTGTGGGAAAAGCAGAACCTGCTTAGGGTGACTTTCAAAGCCCTACTTTGTCTGGCTCTTTCCATCACTCCAGCTGAAACTTCAACCATGTTCCTCTTCCCTCTTTGAGTTCCAGCCACCTCTC